AAATTTCGGAATGAGGCTCGGACTGAAACTCACGAACCAAAACTGACTCGAACTGCCCGGTTAGCTGACTGGCTAGACTGGAATGGAGCGCATGTTCACAGTGAACTGGGCGGTCGAGTGCTGCTCGGGCTGACCGGGCTCGGTCCCGCGCCGGGCCTGCTGGTGCCCTGGCGCGACAACACTGGCATGACTGGACTCGGGACAGACCCGGCCAAACACTACACGGGCTGGCACGGGCGCGGCTGGTGCCACTCGGGCGCTGTCGAGCGACCCTGAGAGCACTGGGCACTCGGGTGTGCTGCTGGGCACGACCCGAGGCCGACTAAACTTGGCTGACCCGACTCAGGCTGACCTTGGGCACGACACGAGGGTCTGGGCTCGAGACTTCGTGCGCTGGGACTGGCACGACACTACCGGGCGCCGTGTGCACTGCCTGGGCGCGTCTGGCGCCGATACTATACGCGTGGGCACTGACCAAGCGTTGCCGGGCACGGTTGCGTGCACTGGGCTGCTGTGCGTCGCGCCTTCGGGGCGCTGGCATGAGCAGGGACAATATTAACCTCTGAAGGCACTGACAGGCACAGGACCGGGCACTGACTGGCCTAACTTAGCCTCTGTTGGCACGGGTCGGCACTGTGCACGCTATAGGCGCGACCAGCGACCATGGCCGATCTTTACCAACCATCCGGCTACTTTTCCGGTGACATGCAGCATATATCAACATAATATGAAGAAAAAGACTTAAATATGCCAAGAAACACTAAGAGACCTCAGGTCAACAAGGACATGGTCCTGTAGGGCCGATATGGCACGTAAGGACCCTAGGTCACCGAACCAACTTCTCAAACTCAAGCATATGACTAAGGCCGAATACTTATCAACCTAAATCATGGTTTTTAAGGCTAACATGATGGCATAAACTCGCATGCAACTCAAATGGCCTCGGGGGTGAAAAATCGCATAAAATCATGAACTAGATGATCGGGAAAATGAACTCTAAACATGCTCAAACTTTTACACCATCATTATCATGATTTATAAAAAATACTAAGCTTGCAAACTCGGCCTAAACATGCATGGTACTAAAAATTCGAAATTTAGCTTCTTAACTCCAAAAATTCGAAACTACTACTTGGACATGTGCATTCATGGATTTCTCTTCATGATAAATCCTAAAATATCATGAAATAGCTATAAAACTCAAAACTCACGAGCTAACCTCCACCAAGGACCGAAAACGGTGATAGGACCCTTGCTCGTGCCTTTCTCGTGCTCTTGGGGGTTGGGCTTGACTCAAGTGCAATACGGCTGAGCTTGGATGAATGAGAAGGCTTTGAAAAGTCTAAGGAACACTATGAAGCTGATGGAACTCGGTGGAAAATGGCCGGAACAAGCTAGACCTTGGTCCTCTCCTTCCCCGAGTCTTGCGCGCGCGCGGTGAGACTAGGTAAGTGGCTCTCGGTTTTTCCTTTGATTTCTCACAATGTGCTCGAACAACAAAGTGTCTAAGAGTCCAAAATCAGCTGAGGAGTGATGCTTTTGAAAGGGGTCTTGGAGGTTAGTGTTTGAATGGGTCAAAGGGGACAATTTCTCTTCCACATGCACATAGGACATTGGGGTGGTCTTGGACTTTGATTGGCCTGACTTTGCTCGGGTTTTGGAGGTTTTTTCAGAACATTTTGGGGTGGTGGAGTGGTCTGGTTGGATGTCTTAAGGTAATGGAGAACATATCTTCACCCAAGACATTAAAATATTCATTTGTCTTCCACTAACTTAGGCTAAGTCTAAATGACTGTGACCTAGACTTGACTAGGGTCAAATAGGCTGAATTAATCCCTTAATAATCTGGTTGCATTCACACAAATTTGGGCTCTAGAGAAGTGGGCTGAAATTTGGATATCTGGGCTCGGTTAGTGGGCTGTGCAAACTTGCGTGCTGGCCCTGGACGCGGCATTGGGCCTGGGCACGGGACATGCACGGGCTGCCTGCACGCGGCCCTAGATTGGCGCGGGGTCTGCTCGGGCTGCGTGCAGGAAATGGATTTGGGCAAACTTCTAAAGTTTTCTAAGGCTTAAATGGTGCACCCAACACTTAGAACCATATACCAATGCTTAGCTATGTCTTAGGCATGGACTTGAACACGGCTCGGGTAGGGCTAGGGCGCGACTCGCGGGCCTTTGCGCGAGCGACTTAAACCGAGGCCATGGTGCCTACTAGAGCTGGTCTTGGCACCTCAAAACACTTAGAAATATTCTTGCCAAGGTTGCGAGTGACTCGGATAGGGCTTAGCACTTGGCTCGGCATTTGGATGGGCTCGCGGGTCCTGGGCGCGAGTGACTCTGGCACCACACGCGAGCGAGGTGCGGGTCTCTTGGCCGAGGGAACTACTTAGTTCTAGAGCTCGCTAATGATGAACTCACTAAGAAAAATTCTAAGTAAGGTTGCAAACACGGCTAGTCTTGATCAAGACTCGACACTACAAGGGCTCGAGACTTGGCTAGGTGCGGAACTAGGCGCGATCGTGACCGAACATACTTAGTTCCGATCACGGCTTGACTTAGACGATTTATTGAAATATACTCGATTTCGATTATTCGTCAACTTGGAATGATTAATCCTGACTGCTGATGTCCATTTCTAAAATAATGGACCAAAATTAATTACTGAAACTGACTCGGTTACTGACTAAAATTAACCGAGACTTCTCTCGACTTAAAGTCGGATTTGATTTGAATAATCTCGCCTGCTTGAGAATAAATGAGCACAGCATATAAATTTCCATAATCAAATGACTCGGGAATCTGAAAATACCGATTTCACTCTATAGCCGAGCAAGTGAAATCGTTCTAATATTTTAACTGATTGGGGCGTTACAATTTTTGTAGTTATTTTGTGTATTTTTAAGTGTTTTATTCGTGTTAGTTTTATTTTATTTTAGGTTTTTATCGGTCCATTTAGTCGTTTTTGCTCGTTTTTGTGTTGTTTTAGTTTCTTGTGCTTTTTATTTCTCTTTTTATCTTTTATTTTTGTAGAAAATTGCACTTCAGATGGTTGTCGAGAAATGCACTCGGAATTGCCAAAAATTCGCCCGAAAGAGCATGAAGTCGCGAGCTCGCGAGACCCATGCATCTTCGAGCACTTGCGGTGAACTAGAGTTGACGACCTAGGTCTCGCCAGAGAATCATGACTCGCAAGGTTGCGAGTCCAGACCTGAGGCAGCCCAAGACCTAGCACTCGCAGCGAATCGTGTTTCGCGACCTGGCAAAATATGTCTCGCCAGTGAATCGCGACTCGCAAGGTCGCGAGTCCAGACCCGAGGCAGCCCAAGACCTAGCACTCGCAGCAAACTGTGTTTCGCGACCTGGCAAAATAGGTCTCGCCAGCAAACCGCGACTCGTGAGGCCACGAGTCCAGCCACCTTGCACCCAACCTTCACACTTGCAGCGAATTGGATTTTGAGACCCACCGAACCGTTGTTTTCATTAAATGTGTGTGTTTTTATTTTGTGTTTGTGGTGTAACTATAAATAGACTTAGCCCTTTGTATTTTGGGCATCAATTCCTCATTTGCAAGATTTTTCTTCTTAGTTTTTTTTCTCTCTCTCTCTCTAGTTTTCTTTGTCACTCTAAAAGCTCCAAGACCCTATTTTTATTGTAATATTTCTCCGTCATGATTGTAACTTTCAGGCTTATTTCTTCTCGTAGATGCACTAGAGAATTGGAGACTTCGTTTAAGGTTGAAGATCTCGTAGTTTTTTAGTCTTTACTTATTAGAATTTTTCTAGAGTAAAAGTAAGAACTTTCATAAGTAGATTATGCTTTCATCCTTGTTGGCTATGGTTTATGTGATTTTTTTATTGATTGCGTGAGCGAGAATTAATTGAGAGCTTGATTAGTTGATTCGCGAGTGACAACTGCTTGATTGCATATTCCCGAACCTATGAGTGAGTATCTTGTTATTTGTCTCTCTATCTTCCTTTTTATTGCAATTTGAGGACTTGCTTGTATTAAAGTTTGAATCTTACTTTCATTCTAGCGTAAAGTTGCGACCTTTAGCTTAATTCACCCACCAAATCACTAGTAGAGTGTTTAGGACCTTTTATTTTCTTTTCTCATGTGAGTCAATCGTTGCTTGAATTCGAGGCCGAACAACCTTCATCGAGAGACACGACATGAGGTCGAATTTATTCCGTACTCGGCTAAAAACTACAAAACAAACAATATCTGTCCTGGTAAACATTGATTAAATATTGTCTGTAGGGAGAAAGGCCCTGATGCCAACGCGCATATTTAATCACTTCAACGACAAACCGGTAATGGAGATCGTGCAATTTATTAATTTATTTAGTTTCACTAAGAACTTAGTATAAATTAATTAAAGGATTTTTTAATATATATTTTTACTGTAATTAATTACCTATGACATCAATGACAATAAATAAATTACCATACACATTAATATGTACTTATCATAATTAATTATTCTTGCACATAAAGAAATGTATTAATTATTTCAGCACATGCATAATTAGAGGCAATAAAATTGAAAAAATAACTAGATATTGTGGACACCAATTATCCTAGAGTGATAGGGAATAAGACCATGTTCGGTTGGAACTGCAAACTACGAGAATTCAATTACATATAAAAAGCATCACAATCCGAAATTCAATCACAATAAAAACTTGGCAGTTACTTGAAAAAGTTAAATCCTAATTCTCTCATAATCCATAATTTTACCATTAGCCCTACTTCTATCACAACCCTAATTCTAATAACCCTAATTTCAAAACGAAGTGACAATTAAAAAAATTATAAGTAATTCAAATTTATTCGAAACCCTAATTTTTCTAAAAACCCTAATTTCAAAATAGAACACTATATTTAGAAGCATCTTTCCATTTGTTCAAAATCTTAAGCCAAAATCCACAATCATATTTAACAAATCAATCATTAATTAATATATAATTAACATTGAATTAAAAATTCGCAAACATACAAATGTTCCCAGATCCCTATCACCAATGTTTGACTTCGAACATCGAGCAAAGTGTTTAAATTCCGACAAGAACAAATAAAGAAATGAAGGATGGGCATACATGTCCCTCACTACAACATAAATGGCTTTAGGTAGCACCAAAGAAATGATACGTAAAAGCTATAAAATGTTACGTAAAAACTATAAAATGTTACTATAGACAATAGGTATTTTTACTCTCAAGGATTTTGGAGGTATTTTTACGGTAAAGGGAAGAAACAACGAAACATCCCTATTTATATACAAGAGGATAACTCTCCAGATAAAGTAGAGGGTGTCGGGTTACTCAGAGCCTTTACACGTCTCTACTCTAGAAGGACGCCATGTATCCCCTATAAAGACGAGCTATCCCTATTTTGGCTGTTATGACCCATGCCCGATCGTCGCGACCACATCGTCAAAATGAATATGCCGATCTCACACCGTCACGTTTCTTAAAAGTTGGCAAAAATCAAGTACTGCTTCCCAAGTCCCTTTTTGCGATTTCACGATCTCTTCGAGAAACTAAAAGCCAAGAGGCCCCCTATTGTGTATATTTGTATGCGATTGCCCCTAATCCATTAAGTTTGTGACATAACCCAGACCCCAGAAGCACTGTAATGTTCGATCCCCCACCAAGGGGAGCATATCTGACGATCGCACAACCGTTCTACTGTCGGTCCTAGAGGTCGTCAAGCTGTCGATATCTTCTGTAAGGTGTTTGTCGATCCCATCTGCCAAATGTGAACACTCTCGGACATACTGAACCAGTAAAGCCGCCATATGCGGTGATACCACCGCCCAAAAAAGTCTTATCTCGCTGCCCATACCGGTCACTTCCGGCAGACCTGCCAGAATACGTCTCGTCCTCAAAAGACGAACTTATACATGGATGAGCCTTCTTTCTCAATCGTTGAGATGGTTCATAATCATCATCACATTTGCCATTTTTCTAGTATAAAGGTGACCCTCAGGCACCTCGCTAAGGGCAAACAGAACAAAGAGATAACATAGCACATTCGACTAGCATAGTATACAAAAAGCTCATTTTTTGGAGCTATCGCTGTAACTCAAACAAAGTTATTGGTGAATCCTTCGGAGAACTTTTCTCATCGTCGATCTCTCAGCAGATCAACAAAATCTAGTGTCGTTAACACATCGAACACCCACTTACATCTCATTAAAGTTATTCTTAATCGTCAGATTAAGGTTAGTTGACGATTGCTCGTCAACAGTGCAACAATTGACTATAGAAATTTATTTTATTCAAAATATAAATAAATTCAAACAAATCATTGTTTTCAGTAAGCAAACAATTGAGCTTGGCATAAGACCAGCCTTATTATTATTTTATGAATTGTTTAATTGTAAAACGAATGAGACATGTGTCTTAGATTCTTGGTATCACAAATTCGGAATCAACAACGATCGATCAATAGGAAGTTAGAGCGATCAAAAGGAATGATTCACTAATTTGTTAGAAACATCACCCATCAATAATTTTGATTGTATCACATATACAAACTCCACTATTAGGCGATTGAAACAGAATTACCATGCCTTGTGTTAGTCGATTAGATTAGCACCACCACGCTTCAATGTGGCCTCCCGACTTTCCATCGACAAGAAATGACATATCTTGTTGGACCATTTTCCTTTTTTTTTTTTTTCTCTCATTTTATTTATTTATTTTTGGTTGTGGCAGTGGTGATTTACGAATTGGATTTCAGGTAGGACCAAACTTTGATGTCCATATAAAATAAGCATGAGCATATTCCCAGAATGTGCCTACATTTTGTCCTGTTATGGCTTTTTGCTTGCTTAACCTATTGGCCAAACCAAAGTTACTTAACTGCACATGCCACATAAAAAAGATAACCATTGAAGCAATTGGAATTTGGAGATGGGGTTAGTGACTCAGAAATTTCGTCCGACTTATAAATTACAACTTGCACCGTTGACCTAAATTCTTTTTACCATTAATGTCTTGAATAAATGGGTTGACCTGGAAAAGCCCCAACAAATTTTCAGCCCTCCTTCATGCTGGAGGTCATGTACGTTCACACTGATTACAAAACTCAACTCAAAATAGTTGACTTTGTTTCTGAATTTAGCTAACTCCGAACTCATCAGCCAATAGCATATGCCCAAATTAGAAAATTCAACTAAAAAATGGTTGACTTTGTTTCTGATTTTAGCTAACTCCTAACTCATCAGCCAATAGAAACCTACTCGTTCATCTTGCAACATACTTATTTTCTTCATTTAAATTGTTTTTTTCATTTTAAGTTTGGTACAGTGAAAAAGGTACACCTAATTCGTTAGATCTCTATTTAATAATATTTGAGCATGAATTTGACGCATGTCACCAAGGGGTAAGTAATGCAATCGCTTGACGTATGTATATTATTCATCACACATTCTTAATTACCAAGGAACTTTATTAATTATGGTACCTCTACCTTTTTTTTATTTTTTTTTAATTTATTATGTGATATTTTCTTATATTAATAGTTGAAAGACAACGTCAAAACATTGAGCTTAAAGTGCAATTAATAATTAACTGACATGTAACTAATTAATGGCACAATTTAAGCCTCATATTATATAGATGCCCTGTAAAGTCTTTAAATTACTAAATGCAGTCGACAGGCTGTATGCAGTTTCATGTGTTTACACTCTAAATTGCTGTCCAGTAATGAATGAATGAATGAAGGGTCAAATAAATAGTTACTTAAATATTTTTACCAAATCGTTTATAGAAAAATAATTTTGTACTACGAGTTTGTCAAAATTCCCAATGATCGGTCTCAAATTCACACCACGATTTCCAAATCAGTTGCTCGACCACCGTCACGACTTTGGTCAGAAAATCAAAGTTCGAGAAATACAGGGGCAAAATTGATAAATAAACAAATAAGTAAAATATTGAGCAGAAAGAAATGAAAGAAAAACGTTAAAACAGAGACACAGAAGAAAAGGCTGATATTGATGAAGAAACAATTCCATTGATATCACAATCTCCATACATTACAATTCCGTTCGATATAAAACATTCATTCACACTCTCAATGTGTGTAACTGGAAAGAATTCAATATTTCCTTCAAAACTATAATAATCCATCATAAAATCCTCGACCCAAACAGAGCTCTGAATTCGAATACCTTCTTCCACTGCTAAATCTTCAGAGATTCGAATTAAATTTTCGGAATTTTGAACTAAACTTAGGGAATTTTGAATTAAATTTTCAGAAGAATTTTGGAATAAATCTTCAGAATTTTGAACATTGCCTCTGACCGTGATCCAATCTTCCTCATCTGCCCAGCCCGAAAACCCCAAGCTTGCCGGAAAATCACCTCCGACCAAAGCCCGGACCCGATCCGCCGGAGAATCCGAATACAAGTCGATTTCAGCCGGAGTTTCAGAAAATTGGGAGTCCTCCAGAGAATCCCAAATCCCTTGATCCATCACACTCGTCGGAGATTTTCTTATTAGCTCCCTAATTTCCCGACACTCAATCTCCTCCTCCTCAACGGAATTAAAGAACGGGTGCTCCAGGAGCTGAGCCGCCGTCCACCTCTCACTCGGGTCACTCATCAAACACCTAGCGAGCATGTCCGCGGCCTCGTCGGACAGCCCGCCCGGCGTCTCCGGCAGGTCTCCGGAGAACGCGATTCTGTACAGCGCCGCCGCCGGATCCTTCATCTCCGGCCACGGCCCGGATCCGGTGGCCATCTCGACGACCGTGCAGCCGAAGGCCCACACGTCCGCCGCGAAACCCTGCTCCTCGCCGCGGGCGACCTCCGGCGCCATGTACGCGGGCGTGCCGGAGAAGGCGTCGGGACCGCCGTGGGCCACCCACCTCGCGCACCCGAAGTCGGCGATTTTCAGGCCGGCGTCCCCGATCAGGATGTTCTGGCCCTTGATGTCGCAGTGGGCCATCCCCTGCTGGTGGAGGTAGCTCAGCCCCAGCAGGATTTGGCGGCCGTAAGAGCGAATCGCGGTTTCATCGAGCGCGCCGCCGCGTTTTCTGATCTGATCGGAGAGCGTGCCGCCGGGAACATACTCCAGGAACAGATTGAAAAGGTGTTTGCCGTTTTCGCGCGTTGTGTCGGAGCCCAAGCACTTGACGACGTGAGGGGAGCAGAGGTGGGAAATCAGAGTTTCCTCTTTCCTTAGGAAGGTGGAAGATGAAAGATAGGCGGATTTAACGGCGAAGATGTCGCCGTCGGCGCCGGTGGCTAGGGACACGACGGCGGAGGAGCCCCGGCCGATTGTGGGACCCCTTGTCCACGTCATTTGGGAGGAGAGAGAGATGTGAGGGAATTTGGAGGTTTTTGGGTGAAAAGTTTTTCTTGGTTTTCGAACTCTTGCGGAAAATGTGAGCCGGGGAATATTTATAAG